CGAGCGCGAGAGAGAGAGAGAGAGAGAGAGAGAGAGAAGCGGAGGTGGCGGGGGGGGCGGAGGTGGTGGAGGTGGAGGAGGAGGAGGAGGAGGAGGAGAAGAGAAGGTTGGCGGAAGGTCGACAGTGCGAAACCTCTGGTTTATTTCGAATCGATCGCCAGGCACGCTCGAGGGTGCTCGGGCTAATTCGGCTCGCATCGGCGATTCAAAACTGTTCGATTCGCAAAGTAACCACATCGCCCATCTCGCGCGATAAATACCGCGAGGCTGCTTCTTCTCCCCTTCTTTCACTCTCCCTTTCCACAAGATCGACCCTTCCTATAAGCGCGGTCAGAGATGCGCAAGGGTGGTGCTACGTCCACCAAGAAATTTGGATCCTTCGATCAATACTACACCTCTTCTGCGCACCAGCTCCGCTAAAGATGTGTAACATCTTTATCTTAATATATTATCTTACCTTCTTGACATCTATATATAAATTGCAAAATTTCTCTCCCTCTCTCTGCGCATTTTTTAAATAATCCTTTTAAACTTAAAATTACATTTTTCAAAAGAATAGCAAATTCTTCTTTATAAAGTTCTTCCCGCTTATCATTAAAAATTCTACCTCATCTCGGCAATTATGCTAAGAAAACGCTCGCGGATGACAAGTACCCGTACCACCGGTAAAAAAATAAAGGAGATAAAGCATCTTTAACAATCTCCATCTCCGGAATAAGGTTCATTATGCGGAGTAAAAGACTGTCCGGACAGGTTCATCGCGTAACCAAAATAGTCGGAACCGACCACTCTGTGCCACTCTTGCGGAACTTGGGAAAACGAGTAAAAAAGACTGTACCGCGAAGAATATCCTAAGAGAATCTAATCAAATGGATAACATTTAATTCCCGTCAACCTTTCGTACAAATCTCAAATACCTTAGCGCTCAACGAATTCCAAGGAAGATTTACATCGGTTGCACGAAGAATTCTTCCTTATTGAGTACAAACTGTCAGGGCGTAAGCGACAAGAATTTTATTACTTGGAATTTTATTGGAACTAACCTTTCATCGACTCTATCCTAACATCTTATACCGTTAAATTTAACGGCATACAATTACATCGTTCAATGCTCGATTCATACGATTAAATTCTTAGAATACGCAGCATTAATACGAGAAATGTATATTCCACAGGCAGTAGAGAAAAGACATTGCAAAGTAATGTGTTCTAGCATTAATGCTAATATCGGTAAAAGAAAAAGAATTGAAGACTCGTCGGTACATTAGCGCGAATCAATACATTCCCATTGAATTTCCAATTGAGTAAGCATAGAATAATTCTTAACATTTATCGGGCAACAATTTCATCCAATTTTCTGATCGATTCACCCTGTTCTGGATAATGTTTCCCACCCTGGAGAACCGATATGCGAGTCAGCATTCCGAATCCATATTTCCAGATTGTATTCCGTAACAACGACGCTTCTCCCGATTGCTACTGAAATTGCTGGAAGTCACGCCGATCGACGAAAAGATCTCGTTCGCGATAGTGACACGAAATCGAGATCATAAAAGTAAAGGGATCGTAGATTACGAATGTGATGGCATCCGTAGAATTTAATCCCATAACTCGGCCCGTCGAAAGGTATGTTGCCCTTTGTAATATTAAAAAGCAGCGTGACACAAAAGAAACGGGCGGATGTAAAAGTATTCGGATTTCCGTGCGAGAAACGTATAAGGAAAAAATATGTGCGGGACATTTCAACGCAAATAATGTAGGCGAGAAAGTTGTATGAGACACGTCAATCATATTTATGTGAGACGCTGACAGTCCGGTATTGATTCCAGACGTAATACCAAACATGGAATATCGAGAAGACGTAGAATAATCTGGGATGCAATATTACGGATAATACTTGATACGTATATAAGGATGATCCTTCCCCGTCGTAGAATAAATACAATAACGTTCGTCCGAGCGAGGGTGTTTCGCGAATTGTTCGCGCGTATGCAGTTGATAAGCGCGGCTTATGAAATATTTTATTTACGGACGATGCTCTCCTTTCTCTACGAGAGTTTTTCCGCGGCGTGTCGCCCATTGCGAAGTATTCACCGTGCAACATCCATAATCCAAAATCGATGCACCGCTGTTTCAATGCGAGTTTAACGCCCCGTGACCGTGGCGTTACGACGACATCGGACAGCGTAATCCTTGTGAATTTCGAATTTAGAGGGATCGTCTCAATTTGGTACATATATATCCGAGCAGCAGCGAGACGATCGTCTGCCTTTGATTTTCCATTTCTTTGCAAGACGTAACCTTGTTACGTCTCGGCAAGGATAAGGGAAAAGGATAAGAAGAAGAGGGAAGGGAGAAGGGGAGAAAGAAACGTGCGATTGCGCGGGAGTCCGATCGGGACGCGAGAGGAGCGAACGAGTCCATTGAAGGGAAGCGGGAGATTTGGCGCTTTTCTCTCCGGTGGTGGTGATGCTGTTGGTCCGACAGGTAGTCCCGGTGGTCCATCCGTGTCCTTCGGTGCGCTGGTGGCGCGACCCCGAGTGTATCGAATCGAGGATCTTCGCAGATTTTCGGAGAGCTTCGTTCACCCACGAACAGGCTCCCGCGGGTTCTCCCGGGCTCTCGGCACCACCGCTCAGTATACTGCGTGGCAGCCTGGACCGCGGGTGGCCCGCAGCCTCCACCGACGGCGCATGGAATGCGTCGACGCGGTGCTTGCGTGCATTCGAGAACGCACACGACAGCACGCTCGCTCCCTCGAACGTGCACCCTCCTGCGTGTTTTGGAACGCACACACAGCATCCGCATCATCAGCGCGCGCGGCACATGGTCCTCTCGTGTCCCGGCCAGCGTCATCCCCGATCGCGTATGAGGTCGTCCCTTCGCTCGGAGTCGGGGTGATACGATCAGTAGCACGAGCGTGGCGCGAGCGCGGCACGCAACAGCGCGCGAGTCTACAAGTGCGGCCAAGGGTCTGTCATGCGAGGCCTCGAGGTCTACGCGCGCCGCGTCGTAATTAGCTGACTGAAGCCTGCTCCAACATCGAGTATGACGTCCAGAAACAGCAGCGGTACCAGAGAAAACGCTCCGAGGTCGCGACGCTCGGCACGTGTGACATCCTCGATGAAATCGTAGCGGAATGTGTTAACGATATCGGCGCGCTACTCCGATCGACCGAGAGCAGAAGCGAGACAGCGAGGTCGAACCGCGAGGAATTGCGCCTACCAAAGTGGGTCGAACCTGCGACACGCTTACTCTCACTGCGGAGAGGAGAGCCGTACCATTCCGCCGTGGATGAGATCCGCGGGAGATTTGCGGCGAGCCGTGCATTGATGCGCGCGCGTGTCGCACGCGTGTCTATCGTGCATAGCGCAAACCATCCGCTTTCGATATGACCGCGGCTCCTTGCTCTCGATAGTTAAAAGCTGATATAATACTCGGTATTTGTGGCGTAAAGTGGACTCGAGACTGCGGAAAAGGAAGAGGGTGCTAAGGATAACGAACAAGAGAAACGAAGATAGAAAGAGGAAAGACGGGGAGAGAAATTGCTCGTAAGAGAAGTGGAAGGGAAAGAGAGAGAGAGAGGGGGGAGGAAAGGAGGGAAAGGTAGAAAGAGGGAGAGAGAGAGGCAGACAGAGAGAAACTAGAGAGAGTAATGATCGTGACGACGGTCGTGCGGACAAATGAACACCTCGGCACAGCGTTTGGGATATTCCAAGTAAGTAGCAATGCGCAACGCCAAGTTGTATTATCCTGCGGAAATTGCTCGCATTGATATATACGCGTAATTTTAAGTTTAAGACTATTACTTCGGAGAAGAAAATTAGTTTCTCCGCGGCAACAAACGACGCAATGTAGAATGAGGATTCGAAGCTCGACCTCGACGAATCTTTTCAACCGAATCAAAAATAGAGAGATCGATACGTCTCGTCTATCTAGCATACCAAACATGCCGAGGAAAGTTGGGGGCTGGTAGGAGAAAACTTTCGAGGAGAAATTTTTCCAACGAGATTTTTAACTGAACCGTCGCTGTGATGCTGCGACTACTTGTGATGCACGTTTCTTTCTTCCCTCTCCTCTTTCCCCCTTTCTTCTTCGCCTTTTTTTTTTGGCGCGCTATCGCTTTACGCTCGGGAAATTTTATCGCCGGTCATTTTTCAAGCCTGGACCATCGATGGGGATCATGGAGGCCGGTAATGGATGCATGCGTACCGCCTAAGCCAGCGCATTTGGTGCGAAATCCAACACGCGGTTGGCATCGAATCGACCGATCGCGCGGCATCGCGTACATACATCGCGTATCATGCTTAACGATAGCTTTCACGTTAAAACTGCCGGAAAAGGTACGACCGGCCGTGATAAAAAAGGCAAAAAGAAAATCCTAGGCCAATATATATTGCTATCGATACATTAATGACCGAGGAACTAAGTCCGATTTAATTTATTAAATAAGTTTAAACGCGTTTAATTGCCCGACGTGCGGCAATTGTTCCGTATAATTTGAAAAAAGTTTTTCTATTTCACTTTGAAATTGCGCTTGGCGGCGACGTTAGCAGCGCTGTCGATATACTTGAAGGGTATGACCTCGAGATTCGCCCGACCCATTTTTCAGGATTTTTCAAAGCGACCACTTCTGTTGTATAAAAAATACAGAGCGTTCATTTTCAAGTCTTCAATTTTAATGGCGCATTAACGAAGCAGTTTTAACAGTCTTCTTTTTCCCGCCCCTTAGTAATTGCAGTAAAATTGCGCGATATACCTTGATTTCTCATTTTTCGCCCGTTTAAATATCCTCGTTTACGCTGAATCAGAGTGCCGAGATCGCATTCTTCTATTCTCCCCGTTAATTAAAGCCAGATGAAACCATCCCCGGACGGTCGGGGCCGATTAATCTTCACAGATCATACTGCCGCGCGCAATACCGTGAGATGGATTACATCCGACTCAAAATTTGTACAACTTCTTCGAGTCGGGTCGTATACCACGTCGATGTATAACATTAGCATTTATATGGGCGCACCGGCAGGATTCCGCGCGCGCGAGTGCCTCGGAAGCGAAATCCGAACGGAGCGAGATCCGACGGAAGAGAGAGGTGTCGCGAGCAGAAGCGAACGGGGTAAACGCGACGGCGGCGAAGGCAAATTCCGCACAGCTCGGGTCGCGTCAACATATTTTTCAGCGTCATTCCGGAATCAACGTCGGCGTCGTCGCGGCGACACGGCGAAGCATATCGAGCTTAAACCGCAAAGGGCAGAGGGGAGGAGGGCGATACCGGCATCTTTCAAGGCACGTGCGCAAAAGGTTGCATGAAAATTTGATTCTGTCCGGTATATCATCGACTTATCATCGCAGACGCGGAATAACAAATTCCCCGCACGCAAACCCTCCGCGGCGAAATTTTTCTATACGAGTTGCCGCGAACAAGGAGGACGCGCGCAGCCGGATTGTAATTTTACCAAAGATACATCGTCCGCGTCCAAGGGGGAGGCGATATACAGCATTTATATTAGCATTTATATAAGGGTAAAGTAACTACGCTCTTCCACGTACCTGTACCACGGGCCTCTACGTGCTCGGGGCAAAAAAGAACAAGGGAAAAATCCACGCCGTACGGATAAGTGTTCCGCGTTCCACGGCTCGCGCGATCCGCGCCGAAGCATTTCCGCAGACACGGAAAATTAAACAAGCCAGGGGTCACAGTTACGTATTCTCAACGAGAAATACATAAAGTTGGAAATATTTTATACAAGACGCTAGGTTTGCAAACGCGACATTAGGGATATTTATTCAAGTAACGGCGGAGCAGTAACTCCGTGGATTCTACCAACTTCGGTCGGCGAGTAGAAACAAAGGTTAGTCGTGAATAGAGCGAGCTAGGGTGAAAAGAGACGACGGGGGAACGTGTGAGGAGAACGAGCGGGCTACAGGGATGTAAAGGGTTTGGGGAAACGCGGCGTTACAAATAGCAGAGCACACAATTAAGTGGCTGCCAGACCGTGGGCCAAGTTTTCTCGGAAAGAGATTATCGGCTAATTGTCAGTTTCCAAAAAGCGTTCCTGAAATTACAGCTATATTACGATTACCCCGTAAGTTAAGTCCCCGGGATAATAGCCGGGGTTGTTGGCTGACTAGTTCGGTGCGCAGAGAACAAGAGAACGGAGCGAGCATACGTGCGTGTGTTTTAGGCGCGATAAGTTGCACCCTGTACCAGTGCATTATATTAACGTGTGCGCGCACACACACACAAACGCGGTTAGCTCTGTTTCATCCACACGCTCGCGTGTAAGTGACGAGATCCAGACGCGAGTTGTAGAAAGGCGGGGGCGGTTCGCCGCGCCGCCAGGCGTACAGTGTTACTTTATTGCTCGCGTCAAAGGCAATCTGCCCTCTCGTACCCTCCTCCTATGCTCAACCCCGTTTTCCTAACGCGGTACTTTGACGATCGCGAACACGCCACGCGGGCGTTTGTAGCGTGTATAGCGCCACAAATGCATTTTCGCGGTTTCACGTCGATAGCGAAATTGCTGACACGCTCGTAAAGCGCCGGTTTCCGCGAGATACGCTTCTCCGTTGCTCCGCACGCTCTTTTCCATCTGATCAGACGTGGGTCAACGACGTCGTTGTTTCGGAAAACAACGTCGCCGATCTGGGCCGGTGTTGCAGCATCCACAGAAAGCTCATAAGGAAATAAAAACTTTCGGACGTTTCGTTGCTCGAGGGGAGGGGGGGGGTGGGGAGGTAAGCAGCGGAATTTCTAGCGCATATTTCATCTCCAGAAGGCATATTTTATCGGGGACGACCGTAAGTTATTCGAAAGTTCGTCCGGCAAGTTTTATCCTTCGAGAATAAATCGCAAAAGACAAATCCGTATTTCCCTCTCCCCTCCCAACCGCTTCTCCCTCTCGGTCGCGTGACCCGGCGCGTGTAAACGAAGTTCCCGACAATTATAAAAGTTGCAAGAGAAGAGAGATGTGCGGGGAGGGAAAAAAATTATATCGCGCGGTCAATAAACTTCTCAAACTAAAAAAGCAATCTGTGCTTTGCCTCCCCGGGTCCTGTATAAATACGAGCGCGAGGAACACAGAAGAAGGGCGGGCCTCCATTTCCGCAATCAATTAAAAGCGTCGGCGAGACGTTCTCGAGATGATATCAGCGCCTTCTCCTATGGTCTCCTGGATCCTCGGTTCCCTCCGAGATCTACTACCGTGCTCGAATTATCGGCTGGGCTCGTCCTTTTTCTTTCCCATTTCCCCCGACAGAATTATCGAGGCGAGAGAGAAAGAAAGAGAGAGAGAAAAGGAGCGAAGGAAAGAAGAGAAAGAGAGAGACTACCCGAAACAACCACGGCTATCGCGAATTTACTCTCCCTCTTCTTACCGCCCGTTTAATTTACTTCATCGACTTCCGACCATCGGCGGCAGCGGCGGCAGCGCAGCCGATCTCCCCAGCCGACTATCAGTCCTCTAAATCAAATAACATAATTTCGCTAAGGCCGCCATCGGTAAGAGGGCCGATCCCTTTTCCCCGGGCCTGGCGAAATCCCACGGCCGAATTTATGGGGACTCCGTGGCCACGACATTCGCTGTTCCCGTCTTACACGTGTGCAAGGAACCCTACCTACACGCGCGCCTACGTCAAGTAAAGTAACACTCCTGGCACACTGGCTGAGATGGCTGTACCGCGACCTGCGACTTGTAGCTGCGATAAATTTTCCTCGGCTTTAACGGTGCTGCGCGCTGCCGCAGAACGGTATTTTCAATCCTTTATACAAGTAACAGAAAGGTGACAAAAAAAAGGAATAGTCATAATTCAAGAACGACGTACGGCAGACGACGAGCGGTGAGGGATTTCGGTCGGCAAGAATGAGGAGTCGCGCGTATAACAAAATGGTATAGAAAACTTAGCTCATTTATTTACAGCTTCTATTACAGGGGTAACAAAAGCCTTTTAAAGCGAGCCAGTAACTCATAATTAAATTACGTAATGGATCGCCAGCCAACTCCGGTATAAAACAATATCTTCAATCTTGTATGAACAATGAAAAATTTAATATTGGAAATGATATAAATCCAACGCGTTTAAAACGAGGCAAAATTTTGATTTTTATGCGGCTATCATTATTGATATTAAAATCTTATTTCGCCGTTTATTGTTGCACGTAATGACTTGCGACCGGCTGTAAAAATGCGTGTGTTGTCTGTAAAAATAGATGCGATACGCCGGGCTTTCGGAAAACGCTCGTGGCAGCGAAAGCGAAGTTGTAACAGATTCGTAATTAAATTTCAAAATAGATTGCATTCCACCGAGGCAGAATGACATTTCCAATCTTTTATGAGGAGAAGACAATCCGAAACGCGAGAATGACAACGATTTAGTATCGAATGCTGAATAAAACAAATGATTTTAATCCGACGAACAATGACGATATTGATACGTTAATTACTTCTCGCAAGCACCGTTATTACCGTTACATAAATTCGTCACTTGGGAAAACAAACATTTTTGTTTACAAAAATGGATCGGCCCTATTGTTCGACATATCGGGTTTTTAAAGAAAGAAAGAAAACAATGCGAAAGCGAATGCGAATGAATGCAAACTAGCACCAGATCCATAATTAAATTTTAAAATCGAGCGCCGGACATCTAACTGGTCAATAAAACGACAATTCGAGTCTAGCATGAGGAGACACGGAATCCGAAAATAACAACTCGGTATGT